TACTATAAACGTTGGCATCCTGATAACATATCAGACACAATATATAGGTATATGAGGGCCTAATACAAACATACTGTGAGTGCGGTTTCAGCGATACTTTCAATTGCTTGCAGTCCCGTTAAATAGATATATTTTTCGACAATTTCTTTCAGTTTTTCGATGGCACCAGGTACTCGACTCAGTAAGTCGAAGAGAATGGTCAAATCTATTGAATGAAATATGTAAAGCGCTGTACCAAAGTATATAAGCCTTGTTTATCGCTTGTCCTTGCCATGAATAGACCGACATCATATGATAGACAATGCGAGTGCATTCTGACAGTAGTGCAAGGAAAAACAATGTCATCAGATAAATACTCACCTTGCTTTTTGTCATTACGCAGGAGAATTTCGGCTCCGCCATAGATCAGATCAAGTTTATTACGAATAAGCACATCGTCAAGAATGGAAAAGAGTGAACCTAATGTGGATGAGTGTAAGTAGGATTTGACACGATGCTCCTCTTCGGTGAGATGTTGAGCTACCTAACAAACGTATAAGAGACGAGTTAAGAATACTTACTAAACAGAAACAGAACAATTCACCTGTTTAATATATTCGCTGATCAAATCTGCAGAAGTAAACTTCGCAGCTTCGCATGTATAGAATTGTTCGCTCTCTCGAAGAAATAAAATTTCAAAATATTCTTTGTAAACACTAAGTTTTTTTGGATTATTTTCTCCCAGTCGTATGTTGTATAATTTATCGCCAAGATCAACTAAATGAAATACGGCTAGATCGAAATTTCAAATCATTTTTACAATTTACTGTAACTCTCAATGACAACTTTGATTGGTTCACTATCGATCGTTTCATGCTTACGCTCATTTTCAATGCAATCGAGACAAGTTCGTGTCATTCGTGTGCCAAATGTCTCACCGATCACTTCTTTCCATTTTACCATAGACAACTAAAAATATATGCGATGATCTAGTTACTATTATAGATTCATTCTCATTTACAGTGAATATATCGTAGATATTCGTTCCACTATCCTGTTGAGCTTTTTTTACCCAGTGTTGATTAATATAATGACAGAAGCCATTGATTAATTTGCTTGAAAAATGATATTTTTCCCAAGAATTTTTATAAAATCGAATGAGATCATCACCATGGATGTCATTCGCACTCTAGAATGATAGTACCAAAAAAACAAATTTTATTCATCATTTATTTCTCAACCGAAAGAAAACAATATTTAACACATCATTTGATTGTAACTCACTTCACGAAGTTCGATAAGGTGTGTGTAGAAATGAGATTCTAATCTTTTATACAATTCATGCCCACCATTAGAGTAAAATTGTAATGGTGTAGCACTCGTACAGTACTTGTATACCTGACTGTTAGTATGGATAAATAAAGGAATAAATGCTAGAAATATATTGCATCATAGAAAGATTATTTACTTAGACAATTGCATATATGTTGCAGCTGGCATGGCTTGTAATTGATAAATAGAGTCGATACCACGCTTAATATTGATCCAGCATTCATCGTCGGCAGCTTGTCCGTGAATTTCTGTCATTGTTTTTCTAGAACGAGAGATGAATGATAGTACACATTTTATACTATGAAATTGCATTGATGACTGCAATTTTGTTTAAGAAATGGCAAAAAGTGAATGATTTTTTTTAAAAAAAGGAAGAAAACGGCGTTTGATGAGGAGTATTCGTTGGATTACACATGTGTATACAATGCCGAAGAATACAGAAAGAAAGAAAGAATGTTTTTCATCGGTGATGACGAAACGGAAAAAACCTGCAAATACAGTAGGTAGGGGAGAACGTATAACATGTACAGGTATAGAAGAAAATTCATCAACTGGAATAATCCAATCTTCTCTATTTATGACGACACCGTGAAGATGTGGGTGTCGAATGAGTGTCGGTCACACCTGCGACCACCCTTTCACTCACACCCTCAAGGTCGTTTTCTTCCATATCTGCTCTGCAACTGGGGTTTTTCTCAGTGTGTTTGTTTGTTTGTGCGCTCTTGAGCCATCATTTTCTTCCATTTCTGCTCTGCAGTTGGGGTTTTTCTCAGTGTGTTTGTTTGTGCGCGCTCTTGAGCCATTATTTTCTTTCATTTCTGCTCTGCAGTTGGTTTTTTTTCAGTGTATTTATTTGTCTGCGCTCTTGAAACATCACTTTCTACCATTTCTGCTCTGTAAATGGTTGTTTTCAGTATGTTTGTTTGTGCACGCTCTTCAAAGCCGACGCAGTGCTCACCAGAGATGGGATCAGTTCGTGTTTTTCTCGACCCGAACCGAGCCAAAACTTTAACAATCTGACGAGTGTATTTGAATATCAAATTTTGAACGAGTTGAATGTCTCGAACGAAACCGAACCGGTCCCATATCTGGTTCTCACACAACTAGTGTACATTTAACGGGTAGTGATGCCATTCTGCGAAATGATTTTTCTTGATGAGGGTATGGACAAAAAGTGAGGATGAGGGCGAAAGATGTTTCACAGTCTTGACTTTCACGCATTTGTTCACTGAGAAAGCCGTTCGCTGATATGGTTTTCGCTCAACGGACACCATACTCATTTCAGAAAAAAATCAGATTTACTCCACGTAAGTCGAGGATCGGAACTTATCGTGAAAACGAGTTGTAGCTTGTTTTCGTATGATTTTCGTTGAGGTGTAGGTTCAGGTATAGATGTGTGTCATCGACGAGAATGAGTTCATAAAAAAATCGCCAAAGTTAAAGCGATACCTGAATGAGTTTACGTTGAACTTTACGTCAAATGAGAGTTGGTCTGCACAATTTTGTAGCCTATTATATACTCACATATTTTCGACTTTGATGATGACTGTTCGTGATTCCAAAGATAGATTTCCATTATACTGCTATGATTTTTCGGTAATTTTGTCGATATGAGATGCTTTACATAAAACTGTTAATATCACTTTTCTATATGGGATTTTGTCTTCATACCGGCAAGTGAACCAATATTACCACATTCCTTATACATATCCATGTGAAGTAACAAAGGGTGGCCTAGCTATGCTGACTCGATTTGTACCTTGACGGTGAGTTTACAAATGAAAAATAATAATTAAGAGCATTTTGAGGAGTGGGTGTATGTGTGTGGGTGTTGACAGAAGATAATCATAATCCCACACCCACACCCTCAATTCTCTCGTATAAATAAATGATCAATATAGTTAGATTTGTTTATTTACACATTGCTCGCAAATGTTAAATCCTTCCAGTTTACAAGAACAATGCCATGATAAACCCCATTCACTGTAAGAATCTATATTACATCTATAACTATCTGCTCGATATTCAATGCTATAATTTTCTCGCCGTTGGTTGCTGTCGCACAATCGAAGACGATGGTCTTGTACGCACAACGGTTGTAGTATACCTAAAAAGAGTCAAATAATCAATGAAAAATTGTGATGAATCTCTTGAACGAATTAAAAAGAAATATATAATAATCATAGAACGATCCTCACACTTGCCATGAAGTTCTTCAGTTTATATCCTTTAAAAGATAATATATTAAAAATAACTTGATTTCTACACCCGTGTTGAGAACTGATAGCTTATTTAGGATATTAATACAACTTATTTGAGTTTTTTTTTGTTAAAGAAAATATTCAAAAAATGAAATAAACTATTTCATTCTTCTTACCATTACAATCGAATCTAATTGGGATCTAAAAGAGTTTTTGTAACATTACCACAAAATCAATTGAATAATCAGTAACTCACCATTCTGTTTTCTTGCACATCTGTCAAATACTTTCTACCTCTCGAGCGTATTTCATTTCCACGAAGTTTAAGTGTTGCTAGTGTCTATGATAAATTCAAAGTCATACATATGTTAACCACTCTATATCACCTGATTCGTTTTTAGTGCATCAGCAAGGTAGATAGCTCCTTCATCTCCAATGAAATTCGATCGAAGATCCAGAGGAACAATTCTCTAATATCATAATCAATGGTGAAGAAAAAAGACATCGAACAGAAAAGACAATTACCGAAGATTTTCTTAGTAAATCAGCTAAAAGCTGAGCACCTCGATCGGTTATCTTATTTGAAACAAGACTGATATTTTTAGTTTTCTAAACAAAAATTCAAGATAAACACATAAATTAAATCAGAATGAAATCTATTCTCACCTCACATATTGCTGAAATACTAGTTATGTACTCAATTATATTATCTCCGATTCCATAGCAGTTCAACTCGAAATCATAACCAACCTGAAAAAAAATTCTCGACAATAAAGAATTATATATAATATCCGCGAATTACCAAATATCTTTGATGACTGGCAATAACTGAAAAAGCTTTGCAATCAGAACTGTTGTGGGTGTAGTTGTAAGCGTGACTGATATACTCCATATAGATATACATATAGGCGTTTGTACATTATTTACTAATTTTTATACAATGATCATTAATGA